GACAGGTCAGTTAAATTTCCCCTCGGTATACTTGAAGATGTTCCATTGCGAGTTGGTAAATTCTTTATTCCATGTGATTTTGTTGTTATGGAAATGGAAGAAGATGCCCATGTCCCTATTATTCTTGGTAGACCATTCTTAGCTACTGCAGGTGCAATTATTGACATGAAGAATGGGAAAATAACATTTGAAGTAGGGGATGAGAAAATGGAGTATTCATTACTGAATGCTATGGGAAATCCGTCTATGGGTGAGACTATTTGTCAAGTGGATGTCCTCGATGATCTACAACAAGAACAACTTCCCCTGATCAAAAAGGAAGATGCTCTTGAAACGGTGTTGATAGGAAGTATCCATGATGAAGATTGGGAAGTAAGGGAGTACACGAGGCTACTAGAAGACGCAAAAGCTAATCCAATCATCGCTCCAGTCAAGGAAGTCCTTAGTACATCGAGTGTTGGGGAGAGTTCAACGCCTCCCGAGGTAGAGTTGAAACCCCTTCCATCTAATCTTAAATATGCATATCTTGGTCCCAAAAATACATACCCTGTTATTGTTAATGCTGAGCTTAATAACATTGAATTAGAGAAACTTCTCGCTGTTTTAAGAAAATATAGAAATGTTATTGGGTATACCATTGATGATATCAAGGGTATTAATCCCTCTTTTTGTATGCATAAGATCATTCTTGAGGACGATCATGCCTCCTCTAGAGAACCTCAAAGAAGACTAAACCCAACTATGATGGAGGTAGTCAAGAAAGAGGTTCTCAAATTGCTTGCTGCAGGAATAATCTACCCTATCTCAGATAGTAAGTGGGTTAGTCCTGTACAAGTAGTACCAAAGAAAGGAGGTATGACAGTTGTCAAGAATGACAAAGGCGAGCCTGTTGCCACAAGAACTGTTACAGGGTGGCGGATGTGCATTGATTACAGAAAATTAAATAAAGCCACCCGTAAAGATCATTTCCCCTTGCCTTTCATTGATCAAATGCTCGAACGATTGGCTAACCATTCCTTTTTCTGTTACTTGGATGGATATTCCGGTTTTTTTTCAAATCCCCATCCGCCCTTGTGATCAGGAAAAGACTACATTCACATGTCCATATGGCACCTTCGCATATCGCAGAATGCCATTTGGACTGTGTAATGCCCCAGCCACGTTCCAACGGTGTATGATGGCTATTTTCTCAGGTCTCATAGAAAATTCTATGGAAGTTTTTATGGATGATTTTTCTGTTTATGGTTCATCTTTCGATATTTGTCTTGAAAATCTAACAAAGGTGCTCCATAGATGCCAGGATGTCAATCTGATATTGAACTGGGAGAAGTGCCATTTTATGGTACAACAGGGAATCGTTTTAGGCCATGTAGTTTCAAACAAAGGGATTGAGGTGGACAAAGCCAAAGTAGAGGTAATAGAGAAACTTCCCCCTCCAAATTCTGTGAAAGAAGGAGAGCAAGTCCTTCTATTCAATTCAAGGTTGAAACTATTTCCAGGGAAACTCAGGTCAAGATGGTCGGGCCCTTTCACGGTCTACAAAGCATATCCTTATGGCACCATTGAATTATGGAACAACACCGGGGGCACCTTCAAAGTCAATGGACAAAGGGTGAAGCACTATCGAGCGGGAGATCCTATTGAAGAAAAGTCAGATATCACATTCTCTTCCTCACCACAAACTCAATGAGGATGAATACGGTCAAGCTAATGACCTTCTAAACAAGCGCTTGCGGGAGGCAACCCGATTCTTTTTGAGGAGCCGTCGAGATTCCTATGCTCTCCTTAAGCTGCAATGAGGCCATTGCCGCATTTAGCTTGGGGGAGTTGCTTCGTACATGTGGTACTCTCTCTCTCCTTATCTCTCTTGTTTTATTTTAGTGTAGTTATTTTAGTTGTTTTTTAAAAAAAAAAAAAAAAAAAAAAACATACAAAAAATACGATCCAATGAATAATAAATCATGCTTCCCTGTGCCCCATTCATGAAAATTGTTTTAATTCTTGGTATATGATGACGAGTATTGTGGATAGGTTAGCCATGATTTGATGTTTGATTACTTGGATGTCTTAACATGAGTCAATTTTGCCCAACTACTTGTAAATATAGTGCTTGACTAGTTGATTTGGTTAGGAATGTGTGTTAGTTCCTGGTATGTCAATGAAGTTGAGTATTGGTTTATAACTTTGAGTAATGTTTGCATGACTCATTAATATGCACATTGAGGAGGACGAAGGCATTTGTTCCTCTAGGTGGCCTTCAGACGATATTAGATACATTTGTTCCCTTCTTGCTACCCATGTTGTTGCTTGTGCCCTTTTATTGTTTATTTTGCCACATTACAAGCCTATTTAAGCCCCATTGGTTACTAGTCCCAAGCTTAGCTTGGGGAGCTAATAGTGAGTGAGGCGAGGGAGTTGTAGTGTGCATGTAATTTGCACAATTTTGGGTGGATTTGAGAAGTTTCTTATTTGTTCTTATTGTTGTGGATTGAAAAAAAAGAAAAAAAATTGAAAATTTATTGTGCAAAGAAAAAAAAAAAAAATTCCAATGTGAGAGAAAAGAAAAAGAAAGAGCAAAAGAAAAAATTGTTTCAATGTTCAAGTGTTCTAATTGAAGGCTGCTCAAGAAAAAAAAGGAGAGTTCAAAGTTTGTTTGTTCACTCAAGTTCTATAATTTTATATTTTGTATATATGAGTGAAATTTTAAGTGTTGGAAATTTTTAATATAATTGGATGTTTGGTGAATTTTTGGTAGAGTTGAGTTGTGTTGGAGATGATTTGGTCATTAATTCATTTTGACCTTGGTTTTATTTATTAGGATTTTGGCTCCCTTAAGCATAGCTTTACTCTTACATTTTCCCAAATATTTCCTACCTTTTATCCTAGCCTTACATTACAAGCTTTGAAGACCTTCTGACCTTTGTGCATAGAGTTGTGTGAATGTGAAATTAGTTGTTTTCCAATGCAAAGAATGATTTGATATATTTCGAGTCGACTGCTAGGTTGAGTGCTTGTTTTCTTTAAACACACGAGTGCGTGAGTTTGGGAGGGCATTGTTCACATTTAAAGGAGTTGGATGGAGAGCGATCGAGTATATCTTTTACTCGCCACATAAATGAGAGTTGAGTGTGTGAACACTAGTCTTGAATTCTATATGCTCTTGTGGTTTGCTCTATGTGACTATTGTCAGACAGGATGAGTAGTCAGATGGATTTGATTGGTTGACTTTGATGCATAACTGTCGAGTTTACCTTTAATCGTATTTATTGATTTGAATTGCTTTTGGGGTGAAGTATTGATTTATTTATTCATTGCTTTGCTTAGGGACAAGCAAAGGTTTAGCTTGGGGGAATTTGATATACGTGTTTTATACAATGGTTTTCCCCGGTTTTACTTAGTAATTTTATATGGTTTTGAGCTCTACGGAGCCATTTCTTGCTAACAATCTCTTCTTTAGTGTATTCGATTGTTTTAGTAAGCTTTTCAGGAATATGAAGCGTTTCTAGGCAATTGGACGTGTTTTTAGTAGATTCGGAAGAGTTGATAGCCAAGAACTGCAATTTATGTGGAGTGCCCGACCGGGCATGGCTTGCCCGGGCAGACCGGGCAATGAGGAGTTCACAGGAAGAAGCCCAATTCTGAACGGTGCAACGCGCGCCCGATCGGGCAGGCTTCGCCCGGTCAGACCGGGCGATGAAGAAATCAAGTTATGAGATGCAATTTTGGAAACGTGTTACGCGCGCCCGACCGGGCGAGGTTCGCCCGGTCAGACCGGGCAAAGAAGGAAAACTGTCGTATTTTACGCAGCCTTCCTCCGCCCGATCGGGCGAGGTCCGCCCGGTCAGACCGGGCAAAGCTCAAGAACGCGTATTTTCTTATTTTTCCGAAATATTATCTTTTGGGGGTATAAATACCCTTTTGTAATTAACTTTTAGACAGTTAGTTTTTCATTAGTTTTCTCCTTAAGCCCTAGAAAACTCTCAAGAACCCTAGTTTTATTTTCTTAAGCAATTTCAATCTTTAATCCTAGTTTTATTAATTGTTCCTCAAGAATTCAAGATCATCAATTGAAGTATTTGGTATTTCTTACTTTCCATCTCTTTTATTTATTTTATAGTTCTTTAATTATGTGTTCTCTATTAGATCTTGTTTTTGATTTAATTATGATTTGTGAGTAGTTTCCTTAATCCGGGATCTTGCTAAGCCCGATTATGATTGATGTATAAAGTAGATCTTTAAATTCCCCAATAATAATCCCAATTGACATGCTTAATTGATTGTGTTTATGCCAATACTAGATTAGGGATAATTAGTATTGTTATCATCCCTTTGTTCTTATTGCAACGGAAGTTGGGTATTAACGGGATTAGGTTATTTCAATTAAGGGTTTGAAGATCATCACGGAAGTAGATGATTGAATAATTAGGAATCTAGGCATGGTGTTTAATGTCCCTTATTCGCTTGATTCCACGGAAGTAGGCTTGATAGTTAATTTGGGAAGCCATTGATAACTCGGAAGAGACCTTTGGTATTATTATTAGGGATTGCTTTTCTTCTTGTCAATTGATTTATATATTGGGGGTAGATTTATTAGTTTATCAATCATAATCGTGGTGATGCTTGATCTTGGATGCTTTAGTTTATTGATTAATATTTCCTCTAGTTAATTGTGTTATTTAATATATTAGTTGATTATTATCATCCATTATTGATTGGTGACGTGCTTAGTGATTAATTGAGTCTGATTAATTGAATGAACCATAGTCTCTTGGGATTCGATCCTTACTTGCCCTACTACATAGTTAGAAGGAATAGTTAGGTTATTTTTGTTAGGTACGCGATAAGCCTATCACATTCCTATTTCCCTTGATGAGTTTGAATCCTTATCACAAGTGAACAACTCACCACTACCCGACCCAAAAGTTACAACCACAAATCTTAATATTGTTACCCCAAAACCTAAGTCATGTAGGCCTTGTGTTTTCACTCATGGTAAGAAGATGCCCAAAACAACAGCTATCCACAAGGGATTATGGAACCCTACTAATGACAACACAGAGGTGGAAACACAAGAGGTTTCCGGTTCAAGGACTAGGTTTAGGGATAGGGAGCGCACAATTGTCGGTCGGGAAATGGTTGAAGTACATGAGAACGGTAGTAGTAGTGGTAGTGAGAGTGATTATGAGTATGAACCTTTAGAGTCCGATGAAGGAAGTGACCATTTACTTGATTTTGACTTTGACGCTGAGGAGAATACAACGAAACTGCTTAAGGAAAATTATGTGGATGGTGGATGGGAACCTTTTAGTGTGAGAGGTGATGTATATGAAGATGACGGTGGGTATTTGTCAAGGATGTATAGAAATGGGGAGGTTTATGATGATGCTGACATTGGAAGGATAAGGTTAAGAGCATGGCAATTATTCATGGATAAAGACCATTTTAGAGATGTCCTTAGAGACTTTTGTGTGCAAGAGGGATTCTCACTAGTGGTCAAAAAAGCTGATAATGACAGGTACACTGCAGAATGTGCTGATTTGAGATGCTCTTGGAGAATTCATGCAAGTAAACTGCCAGATGAGCACACTTGGGCAATTAAAAGCATTAGAGAAGGACATAAATGTGACCCCTTGGTTAACAACCCAATGTGTAATTGTGACCGGGCTGCTACAAAACTTCTTGAGGACATTAGGGCCAGCCCAGATATTAAGGGGAAAGCTATGAATGCTTTGCTATGGGAGAGGTACGGAGTGACTATGGCTACCTCTACAATTTACAAGATGAAGGCCAAAGCGTTGCATATTATTCAAGGGGGGCATGATGAATCTTATAAAAACCTTGTATTCTATTGTGAGTTAATAAAAGAAAAGAAATCCAGGATCCATAGCTTTTTGTACATGGAAAGAACTTGAAGAGCCTGGGAGACCACTACAATTCAAGTCAATCTTCATAAGCTTTGCTGCACAGTTTAGGGGGTTATTGAATGGATGTCGAGGTCTTGTTGGGGTTGATGGATGTCACCTTAAGGGCAACTATGGCGGAATCCTTTTAAGTGTCGTGTCTCTTGATCCAAATAATGAGATATTTCCGATTGCTATTGCAGTGGTTGACTCCGAGAATAAGACTAGTTGGACTTGGTTTTTTCATCACTTAAAGAACATCTTGACTAATGATGGAAGAGATGAATGGACGATAATATCAGATAGGCAAAAGGTATTGTGTGGATTTTTACATTTTTTTTTTATGATACATAATTATTTGCTATTTTAACCTTGTCTTTGCATTTGTTGATCTCTTAGGGTATTGACCCTTCATTGGATGAGGTTTAGGCCAAGGTTCCAAGGAGATACTGTGCTAGACATTTGTGCAAAAACTTTAAGAAAGATTACCCCGGAGTATTGATGCACAAACTTTTTTGGGGAGTTGCAAATGCATGCTCTGTGTTCACATTTAGAAAGTCAATGGAGCAAATTCAGAAGTATGGAGGCTTAGGTGCTGTGAAGTGGCTTAAAGAGATTGGACCAATGGAAAGGTGGACTAAATGGAGGTTTGATCCTCAATTATGCTCAGATGAGAACACAAACAACTTTGTAGAGAGTTTTAATAACACTATAGGCGTTGAAAGGACTTACCCAATCCTGACACTTCTTGAAGGTAATTAATTTAACTTGACTTATTTACTTTTTTAAATGACATGTAAATCTTACATCAACTTGTGTCATCATATGTAGGTGTTAGAAGAATCGCAAGGGTTAGACATGCAACTAGGCAACAATTATGTGAGGATTGGAAAGATGATGGAGTATGTCCTAATATTCTTGCTCAAGTTAGGGTCCTAACAAAGGATTCAAGACAATGCAATGCATACCCCGCAGGAAGAGGTGAATATGAGGTGTCAGATGGGAGAAGTATGCTTCCCGTATCCTTGAACAATAAGAGTTGTGTTTGTGGTAAATGGCAGGTTAGTGGAATTCCTTGTAAGCATGCTATCAAAGCTATTTTGCATGCTGGAAAGGACCCATTGGACTTTGTTAGGGAATGGTACTCTGTGGCTATGTATAAGGAGGCATACAAGGGGAATATTTTACCAATTCCTGACTGTAACTAGTGGCCTGAGCTTTCTGTCCCAAAGTTAATCCCACCTACTATGAAAAGGAGCGTAGGGAGGCCTTCACGTAATAGGAGAAGAGAAGAGGGAGAGCAGAGGACAGGAAAGAGGAGTAGCACCGTTCAATGTAGTAAGTGCAAGGAATATGGCCACAATGCTCTCACATGCAAGGGAGGAGCAACAAGAAAAGAGAAACTAATGCAACAAGGAATCATAGATACAAGTTCAAAAAAGGCAGCTTCAAAGGGGAAAAGTAATGTAAGAACAAGAGAACGCACAAGTAATGAAATGAACATGATTGACCTCATGATTGCAGAATCGCAAGCATCTAACCACATGACGCAACTAAGGTCAAGCCATCAGCATTTGCATCAACAAAGGTCGAACTCAACTCAACCTTCATCAAGTGCTCCTCTCCATTCTATAAGTTGTGCTGGCAAGAGACAAAAGACAAGATAGATTTGGTTTCCCTAATGTGTTGGTCTTATTCCCATGTATTTCCCTTATTCTTGTGGGTTTTGCATTTTGTTAAACCTGGATGTTTTTAGGATTACAGTTTTAGTGGTGATAACTACTGTGTTTTTGGACTATTTTCACTGGTATAATGGATAATATGATGAACCAAACAGATTTTTATGATTTTTTTTGGATTGCTACTGTCTAAAATTTCAGATATGTTTTTTCTATATTGCAGATACTCTAGAGACTCTGTACTATATAAGGTTTTTGTAGTCCTGTATTGCAATTGGTTTTATAAAATATCAAACCCGATCCTGCATAAACAAAATTGTTCTATAAATCCAGGCATCAACTACTACCCTTTTTTGCAACTGTAACTTATGAATCATGGAAACTGGCATTATAATAATAAACAATACAAAGTAATAGATAATGAGATATATGCTCTAGAAGTTCCATGTAAGATTCCATCTTAGTATATTATATATGTTCTCAGTTCTTTAATATAAAAGAATACAAAAAATCACATCATCATCAAAAAAAGGTGCTGAATTTTTTTAGATTGCTACTGTCATGTTTTACAATTTTTTTTGGATTACATTTCAGAGATAAAAAATCACTTCATCAAAAATGAGAGACAAACAATACAAACATAACTACTGTGTTTTTGGATTGTTGTTTTCATGTTTTACAAATTTTTTTGGATTACATTTGAGTCGATTTGACATCGGAGAATGACGATACAGTGAATATGGGGCTGAATTTTAGGGGTTTACGGGGGAATTTTTTTTGGGTTTTAACGGGGAACGTTGCGGGTTAGAAATTGGTTGAGGTTGTTTGCTAATTCATTCTTGCATAATTCAGATTTTAATTAGAGATAAGTTGATTGAGAAAGTTTAGAGAAAAAGAGTTCATTTTGGAGAAGAAAAAGAAAGAAGCTATGGAAGATCGTGAGCTTGGGGGGAAAAACAATTAAATTTATCTTATAAAGTTATAACTAAGTTATAAGGTTATATTATAGTAACCTCTTTTTTTTTTAAAGTAAAAAAAAAAAAGATTGCTAACCATAGTTAATAGTCTATATAAAGTGTTTTAACATTAACTTAATAAATGGTTAAAAGTAATTAAGTTACATAAACTTGTGGGCACCGTGTAGAAGTTTGGATTTAAAAGGGTACAACATGGAAAACGCGATAATTTGAGGGTACCATGTGGAAAAACCCATTATTATTATTATTAATTATTAATTATTAATTATTAATTATTAATTATTAATTATTAATTATTAATTATTAATTATTAATTATTAATTATTAATTATTAATTATTAATTATTAATTATTAATTATTAATTATTAATTATTTATTATTATTAATTATTAATTATTAATTATTAATTATTAATTATTAATTATTAATTATTAATTATTAATTATTAATTATTAATTATTAATTATTAATTATTAATTATTAATTATTAATTATTAATTATTAATTATTAATTATTAATTATTAATTATTAATTATTAATTATTAATTATTAATTATTAATTATTAATTATTAATTATTAATTATTAATTATTAATTATTAATTATTAATTATTAATTATTAATTATTAATTATTAATTATTAATTATTAATTATTAATTATTAATTATTAATTATTAATTATTAATTATTAATTATTAATTATTAATTATTAATTATTAATTATTAATTATTAATTATTAATTATTAATTATTAATTATTAATTATTAATTATTAATTATTAATTATTAATTATTAATTATTAATTATTAATTATTAATTATTAATTATTAATTATTAATTATTAATTATTAATTATTAATTATTAATTATTAATTATTAATTATTAATTATTAATTATTAATTATTAATTATTAATTATTAATTATTAATTATTAATTATTAATTATTAATTATTAATTATTAATTATTAATTATTAATTATTACTAATCATCATATATTATGACTAATTATTATTAATCAAAAGTTAATCATGTCAACAAGCCAAAAGCCATAAGCCAAAAGCTGCTCCAACTAGCTTTTGGCTTTTGGCTTAAAAGCCAGCTTTTCAGCCAGTTAAAAAAGCCACTAACCAAACATGTTTTTTAGCTGTTTGACCAACTTGAAGAAGCCAAAAGCCAAAAGCCAGCTGAAAAGCTGGTTTCCAAACACCCCCTTAATGTCCTCATGTTTCTCATGAAAAATTCTGGAGGGTACAAACCACACAAAGAAGCTATAACAGCAGCAGCAGAAAAGTACAACATATGCATAAGGTTAGTGAGTCAAATATGACATGATGCAAAAAAACAAAAAGCAAATATTGGAGGTTACAATCCAGTCCCAAAATACTATATGGCAGGAAGGAAAATGATCCAAATCTAAGAAGAAGGCGTAACAAAGCTGAGCATTGGTGAGAGGTCATGTATCAGAGATTTGGCACACATGATTAATTTCTCTAAAAGCACAGTGTTTAGGATGATCCAGAGAGGGGACTTGAATGTACACACTATGCCTTAAAGCCAAAAATGACAAAAGCTAACAAATTGGCAAGATTGAAGTGGGTCCTAGGGTTGTAGATGGGATCAACAACTTGGACAAAGAACAAATACTTTCCAATGTACAACTTTGTTCATATAGATGAGAAATGGTTCAACTTATCAAGAAAAAGTCAGAGGTATTATTTGTCAAAAGTCTGAAAAGGGCAAACATAGGTATGCAAAATCAAGCACAAGAATACCAAAGGCAATGTTCATGGAAGCCACTTCAAAGGCCAAGGTTTGATGAAAATGGGGATTGCTATTTTGATGGAAGACATGGAATATTCCCATTCACTAAGCAAGAACTAGCCAAGCGAAACTCAAAAGGGAGAAGGGGACTATGGTCACAAAAATCATTGAATCAATCACAAAAGAAACTACAAGGAGGATGCTTATATATTAAATTGTACCAGCCATAAAGGCAAATTGGCCAAATGATGGGCAACCAAAGGTTATTTACATTCAACAAGATAATTGCAAAACACACATAACTCAAGATGACCCCGAGTGGCAACAAGTCTACAAACAAGATGATTTCACATTCATTTGGTACAACAACCACCAAACAGCCCTGATCTTAACATATTGGATTTGGGATTTTTCAGAAGCATACAATCATTGCAACACAAAAAAATGCCAAAAGACATTGATGAGTTACTCAAGGAAGTTAAAGATGCATATTATGATATAGAGCCACAAACACTATGTTTTGTGTGGTGTACTTTGCAAACAATCATGAATGAGATACTCAAGGTTAGAAGTGGCAATGACTTCACCGTGCCTCACATTAATATAGAAAAACTCTTAAGGAAAGGCAACCTAAAGGAAAGAATGGATGCACCTACATGGGCTGTTTTGAAGTCATGGGAGGCAGTTTTATGGGATGTGGGTGATCCCACATTTGAAGAACAAGATGAAGAACCAGAAAACATAACACAATCAGAGCATCAACTACCACCAGAAACAGTTGCAGGTATTCAGGAGGAATATAACACAAACATTCATGAAGAAGAAGCAGATAACATGGATTTAAGATGGTTCAACTACAGTGAGTACACTGAAGAACTACATCATTGGGCGTCAATATTAAACAATGAAGAATTTCTAGAGTCACTGGGCTTGTCAATATATGGAACTCCATTTTGCAACAATGACCATGAGGCTAACTCATCAAAGATAAATTAATGTGATGCCATGTGATGCCATGTGATGCTATGTAAGCAATGGTACCAAGTTTTTGTAACTATTTTAATGACTCAATGAAATGAACATTTATTTTATCATATATAAATCAAATGTATTTTTTTTAAGGCCAAGTATAATCTTATTGTTTTCATCTCGGAAGTCCCCCATAAATCATTGATTATAAACACAAACGTAGCGCACAATTAGCTGCCTAAAAGTCTCAACACCCATAGGTAAAGGTGGAATCAAATTAATCTCAGAAGTCCCCATAAATCATTGATTATAAACACAAATGTAGCGCAAAATTAACTGCCTAAAAGTCTCAACATCAATAGGTAAAGGTGGAATCAGTAACAGGGGAGGAGTTAACTTCATCAACATTTTTTTTTCGAGCCATTTTAGATGTCACCTCCACACCACTTAGGGTTTTACCATCACCGTCACCAACAGACCACCCATAATACTGGAATTTTTCCCTAGTGTAGAGATAACGACCAAAGCGACTCCTCCAAACATCTAAGCTGTAAGAATGGTCGCCATTGCATTCAGTCGACCAGTGACAGTCACGATTCGAACACTCGTAAGGCACAGTTTCCCCACCATCCTCATCACTGTCGGTACGAAACAAAATGTCAGGATCTAGGCCAAACCTTTCATCCCAAACTGGAGGATTTTGTTGTTTTTGAAGATTGGAACTAGAATTTTTAGACATTTTGTCGAAAATAAATTGGAGAAGGAAACTCAATTTTTGCAAAGAAGGAGGTATGTAATTTTGGATTACCCAAAATAAAAACTAGATTTATAATTTAGGAACGGATGAAGTATAAGTGGGAATAGGCCCTAATTAACCCGGTTAGAATTCGAGACGAAAATGGAAGAACACCACGCAAGCTGAAGTAGTGTTATCTCCATCCATGTCCGAAAACCACTAATGGCGCCATTGCTGGGTAATGTGCTTCATCTTCGTCCGCCATTTTCACTTCCCATCAGCATCAACTGTTGCAACTTCACCACTAATTCAAAGCTCCCAAACATTCGAACATTATCAAGGAGGAGTTCGATCTTTCTTTCTGCTTCTTTTCTCACTTTGTTTCTTAATCTCAACCCCAATTCATCAACGCCTTTGCTTTCTGCTAATGCCCAAGAATTGGATGAACAAGAAGAATCCACTGTTGTCCGCCTTTTTCAGGTACTTATTTGATCTGAATTATGTTACCCACTTCATGGCAATTTCAATTTTATTTGCCCCCAATTTTTTTTTTTTGGCAATTAGACATCTATGATGAAGTTTTTATGATTTTGTAATAAGTTTGTCGCGGTGTTTCACCTAAGAGTGCTATCATTTGGATTTAAGGTACGGCTTTAGAATGAATATAGCTGGATATACTTAACTAAGAGGTAAAGTTGCAATGGTCTTATACTCGTGAAGTTGCAGAATTATTTCAACAATTATTGAGAAAGTCATGTTGGATATGAAAGACAGTGTAAGCTCATAACCTGAAATATTTACCTTATTTCAGCCAGATTAGTTGCAATGGGCTCAGAAATATGATTATTGATTATATTATACAAGTATGATATAAACCTGACTCAGAGTCCATACAACATCTTTGAAGTAATTTTTGGGGCTATTGAGAAAATGGAGACTAACATAAAGGCATGAAACATTAACTATTTGGTCATGGAGTTGATTTTGGCTTACTGTAGTGTGCCTTGTTGGTCTTAGTAGAATGTAGTCTATGTAAATGTCAACATAGTATTTAGCTGGTTCCGAGATATGTGACTTGTTCTGCCTTGACGTGAGGATATCAATGATTTGTTTACCAGTCAATAATTGATGCTCTATGGTATGCAATATGATGTAACTTTATCAACTTTTATATTACAAAGGCAGTTGTGTGTTTTTATTTTTATTTATTTATTTGCTTGAGTATTGATGCTGTAAACTACCACTGTTTTTTGATTTGAATCCTGTAAATGTATCAAAGAAAAAACTTAGACAAAGTAAACCACAAATAGTCAGGTAATAGAGAGGATTGCCATAAGATTCGAGTGATGATATTCTTTATTCCAGGAAAGGGGTGACAAATAGATAATGGTGTTTGTTACAGCTTTGTATGGTTCTCTCTATATTTTCTGTGGCTTTTCATCCTTAATGCATATTAGTGTTTAAATTGTGCGCAATGTGGGCATAATTTATTCCATCTTCCATGCTATTTGTGCCAGTTTTGAATCATTTGTAATTATAGGTTTCCCTTGTCCTTGCAGGAAACCTCACCATCTGTGGTATACATTGAAGTGCTAGAACTAATGAATAGCTCCAACAAGGCAAAGGAAGCCTTTCTAGCTGACGAAAGTAGTGCAAAAGTTGAGGGGACAGGTTCTGGCTTCCTCTGGGACAAATTTGGTCACATTGTAGGAATTTTTTTATTTTTTAAGTTTAAATATCAAATTTATATCACTAGACATCAACAGATTTGATTGATTGCTGTGAATCATTCAAATTTATTTTTATATAACCTGTGGTAGTATGTGGTTACGTGTATCGTGCATGTCTTGTGTCACTCAGTTTGACTAATGCTTATGTGGAAGTAATAGTGATTAATCAATGATCCTTTATATTCTAATTATGAGGTCTCTAGATAAGATACTCATGTATAACCTCTAGTAGGCTATTAAGTCTGGGAATTACATGATTTACATCCTCAGTTGTTGCAATGAAAAGAGGGACCGGGATATACAAAAAAGATAACACAGTCTTTGAGGCTAAAAATGTTTGTTCTTTACTACCTGGGCTCCATTTATAGAACAGGGATGTAAAGCCCCCTCCACAACAACCTTCTGAATAACAGAATACGATAGTATACCTTACACCTAACACATTAGAAAATAAAAGATGTTTATAAATTACTTCATAGCCGAATTACATGGTCCCTTATAACCAACCTCAAGAAGTTGTTTAATCAAAACCTTCAATAGTCTGAAGCCTTCATGAGAGCTGCAAGGGTAGTAAATGTTGGTTTAAACTAGAATGCATGTTTAGTGGGATTTAATTTAAAAAATAATTCTATGAGAGTATTGTTGCGTTCATTTAGAAAACATAGAGAACTGAGATGCGAAAGATTACCTGAAAGTTTACAATGGTGATTAAAGTAAAATAAGAGATGATAAATAAGAAGTATGATGGGGATATAGGGACTCATTGAGCTCCTAACAGAATATAGACATCTTACTAATATATTGTGGGCATAGTAATATTATTCTTACATGTAATTATTGCTAGTTAAGTTGAATATCTTGGGGACTTTGCAAACATTGATTTGTTGTGGGATAAAGTCCCTTATTAGCGCCATTCTGGGCTTTTAAGAGTTACTCAGTTGAGGAGGTTCAAAAATATTGGGTTATTCTGTAATATTTGACCCCCCCCTTTCTTTTCTTTCTTGTCTATGAACACTTGACAGCCATTGTTGCTTTTATTAGACGACTGTTCTTTCAAATGGTTTCAAAAGTGAGCTACTTTTTCATGCCATCTGTCGTATTATAAATTAGAAATTATTAAAATGGACTAATGCACTAAGTTAAATTGCACATATCAATTTAACCATGGATTAAATGACTTCCAATATGGTTGAATGTAGCTTATTATGTCTCTTTACATGGTTATAACTTGTAACATCAAAGTATCAAACTATAAGATATTACCTGAAAGTTTTCATTGAACTTATTGAGACTTCTGATTTTTATATGGCTATTTTCTGCAATTTCTGGCAGTATTTAAATAACTTTTGATTAAAAGAGTGCTAGCTTCTTTCTTCATTTCGTAATTCTTGTGGTGACTTTTGACATTATGAGCGTGAATGCACTCAAAACGACTTCATGGTCTCTGTAACTCATTCTGTCTTCATATTGCTATGTCTTTGGTATTCTTTCCATGTTGATTTACTAGTAAAACTAAGCACTAGCACTTCCTTTCTTCTGCCAGGCGATTGTATGCATCTACATTAGAGTTTTGTTATTTTTAGTTTTTTTTTTTTTTTTTTTTTTTTACTTTAAATTTATTGGATTAATGTTTTTGTTTGATAGGTTACCAATTACCATGTCGTGGCTAAGTTGGCAACTGATCAAAGTGGACTGCAGTATTGTAAGGTTTTGCAACTCATACTTATTTAGGTTCAAATGGCTATTATGCCTTACTTCTGCAGTGCATGAACAATTTGAATTCTGAAATACATGTTACAGGTGACTGTAGGAGATGCAAAAGGAAATAAGATTTCAACTGAGGCCAAGATCATCGGTTTTGATCCAACATATGATCTGGCTGTTCTTAAGGTATCAGATAAGGCATTATTTTTGCATTGTAATATTTCAACCTCTTTGCAACATTGGGGCATGTAGAATCATTTAAAATGTTGGTGATGAGAGATGGGCCTTTTTTTTAGATCTAATACGCCCTCTGTGATTGCCACTATGCTAGAGTGTTTTGATGTTTTCTCCGGTGGCAAGGTTAGTGTAACATGGCCAGTGATTCTCAGAAACAGTTCATACAGAGATTGAAGCAGATTTCTAAATTTAAAAGTAGAGATTTATAATTTTTTTCATGTTTGGTAATTTGGGACCCTTATACAGTAAGTGTACTACTTCCTCGGTTCTTTTTTACTTGACCTATATCAATTATCACGCTTGCCAATGCAAAACTTTAATGATCAATAACTTTCATTCCCTATAAGTAAAAATTATAGAAATTATATTATATGATATTACTTATTGAGACAAATCTAACAAGATCCCACATGAATATGTTTTTACTTACATATAATTTGCAAAAGACGGTCAAAGGAGGGATGGTGAATAGTGTAAAAGTCAAAGCGGGTTAAGTAAAAAAAAACAGAGGAAATACTAGTTAATCATTACCACATATGTTATGTAGGTCTTTATTTCGTTTATTGCAACAATGTGGATATACAATCAATTTTCTGTAAGGGCAATACAATCTTCTCCCAGCTTTCTTCAGTTTTTTTTTTATTTTATTTTATTTTTTATTTATTTTTCCCCCCCTTAGTACATCTGTTTTTGTAAATGGTAGCAGATAATTCTGTCAATTCTGCATTTTGGAGTAAATTCTAATTATTTTATTTCTGGTGTAGTTTGATCCTCAGGGAAAAGAGTTAACGCCTGCTCTTATAGGAACATCAAGTAATCTGCATGTCGGCCAGAACTGTTTTGCTATTGGGAATCCTTATGGTTATGAAAACACTCTAACAACTGGGGTATACACTTGCAAGCCAACATTTGCTACTAGTAACAGTTGGATATCTTATCTACTGCTAGAGTGATATTGCGATTAATGCGATATGCTGATTTCTTGAATGTTGGCCAAATTGTTAGTTTTTCACATTAATCGTGATCTTAATTTAGTTTTTTAATTTTTTTTTAACTTGGAGGACTAGCACCTATTATGCTAATCACATATATATATTAAAATGAAATTTCAAATTTTAAATTACCCCTCATTCCTGATTCCCAAAGTTGATTTATCATTGTTTACCTATACACTTTTACACGAGCAAGATTTCAGTTATACGGATTTGCATATTCTTGTTAAGGACTGAATGTACCAGAAAATACACTAGAATGACAGGATTCTACTAAAAAATACAGCATTGGGCTGTTATGTGTTACCTAAAGTCCTAAACTGTAGATAAACCCACACAACTTTTCCTGTGAAATGTTGCGGGGGAGGTGTTCATTATCCACATGTATGCTGGTATAATAGATCTTATCATAACTGATAGATGATTAATGCTATACGCATGCTATCTTTTGGGATAACAAGGTCACTTTTACAGCAATAGAACTAACCAAATTACTGCTTCTAAAGCTGGTTTCTTATCTGTCGGAATTATCATAATTACCATTAATGATGTGTAATTGGATTTTTAAATTTTAACCCAGGTAGTAAGTGGTCTGGGCAGAGAGATACCATCTCCAAATGGACAGGCCATTCGAGGAGCCATACAAACAGATGCTGCTATTAATGCTGGTAAAACTCGAGAGTAGCTTAATAATAATTCCTCAATTGTTAATCTGTACTTTCATATTACTATACTTGTTTCTCATCAGTTCTTAGAGCCTCAATAGGGTATAATTTTGCACAGAATCAACCCCTTTTTACAAGATGGACCAGCAGTTTGTGTACATTTTCTATGATAAAATTTATCCTTATTTTAGCACATTGATATCAGGAAACTCAGGAGGGCCATTGATTGATTCATATGGTCATGTCATTGGTGTGAATACTGCGACATTTACTCTCAAAGGTGAGTAAATTTCATTATACTTTTATCTTTTTGTTTGTTTTCTCAAAGCAAGAAGAAAGCAGTGGATTTGCACTTAGTAGAATCTCGTCTTTTACAAGTAACAAGTAATTTACTTCAATTAGAAACGTAATAATTCGGTCAAAATTCTTTTGGCAGTCTTAAGACTCTTAACTTTGAATTTGCTGACTGTCTCATGATTTGCTATTATATTTCATATGAATGACACATATTGTTTTACTCTTTCAATCTATTGGATGTATCCTGTTGTAATCTACAGATGTGACTTTTTACCTTCTCATGTTTCAATCTTTAGTTCTTAATAATTGATTTGATTGGTAAACACTAAAACAGTGGACTGTAGATTTTTTTCAGGCAAATTTGTCTGATAGTTAGGCTTTTTGGGTAAGGTTTAAGGGATTCTTCCCTGGAAGGTATCCCGTCCCATCTTGCTCTTGATGTTGGTTGTTTGCTTAACTTTATGATTCAATAATAAATGCTCTGTTCGTTCATTTAACATAAATAAATAAAATTTAAAATAAAAAAGCTTTATGTAAATATTCCTTTTCATTTTCTATGTAGATGAAAACTTTATGAATAGATGTGTCAAGTGTTCTTGAAGCATTTGGTTAAAGCTGTATTGATAATGGTAAATAATAAAGATATCTGGGTGGGTACTTGGCTTCGGATTATCAACCCAAAAAATATAAATTTAAAATAAAGAAATATACAAATTCATATTATCTGTTTATAAGTTCAAAATGTCATTTATTCAAAATGCAAGGTTTGATTTATATGAAATGAGCATCCATATTCTGAAAGACAACTGCAGTATTTTTAGGAGATAAGAGCATGGAAGCTCTAAAACGTTGCTAATTTTAATGTTTGGTGATGTTTGTTGGTCGTATTCCCTTTTTCCTTACTGTCTGAATTTGATTTTAATATACTGTACTGAATCTTTCTACCATCAAACTTTGTTAAATGCAGGCTCTGGAATGTCCTCTGGTGTTAACTTTGCGATTCCAATTGACACTGTATTGCGGACTGTACCTTCTCTCATTGTCTATGGAACACCTTATAGTAACAGGTACTAGGACTACTAGCTGAATTGGTATTGAAATTGGGATCTCTAAAATTTCTTGTGAGTAAAAATTCAAATGTGAAGATCGTTCTCGTTAGTCGTAATTCATAAAGCTTTCAACTGCTGGGTGACTGTTGCATGCATGCTCTCCTATCATTCTGTAATTATATGCAAATTTTTTGTAAAAAGAAATTTGACAAGCAACTGATTAAGGCAGTCACGTATATTTCAGATACTTCTGAAGAAAGATGTTATAAAATAAATTCTGCATTGCTCTTATTTTCTGATGTTAAAAATTTAGAATTGGGTGGTGGTGTTTTCTGGGCCTAAAAGCTTGAGAAGACTTTTTCTTGATTGTAAAAAATATTGGCCTTATTTTGAACAAGGCACCATTTGTCTTTTGGAAAGTTTGAATTGATTCTCCTCTGCACTGTTTTGAATGTGCTTGGGTTAATAATTTGCCCCATCAGAGATGGCTGAAGATCCATAGTTTTAGGATACAAACCCAACCCGAAAAATTTGTACTATCGACTCAGGTGACAATAATTCAGAAAAAATTGCCCCATTGTCTCGATCAATAATAATTCAGTCAGGAGTATTACCGCGAATGAGCTTAGCTTGCGTGCAAGCTGAGCAGAGCAACGAACTCAGCTAGAGTGAGCTCAGTTTGAGAGTTGAGACTAAAACATGCATATCTGCGCTTGAAAATAGACAATTCCATCAAACCTTTAAACATAATACTCCTAAATAATAATTAGATTTAGATTTAGTACCAAACAAATCTTGCAATAGACAATAGTACTATTACTACAGAAAAGTATAAACTGTAAATTCTTGGAAAAGATATAAAGTGTTGATGGGATAAACTAATCATTTCTATTTTTAAGAAGGGCCCTTATTTTTGGGACAATTGCGGGGCCAAAGCCATTGGAAACGCAGGTGCTTACAGCCTAAGCAAGCAGCTTTCAGCCTTTCACGGCTTAATCTTATCATCTCTTTCTAATGATGACTTTTTTTGCTCAATTTTTATGTGACAAGATTCAGACATTCTCTGAATATCATGGCTAGCAAAATCACTCCCCAAAAAAATAGAAAAAAAAAATGCTCATTGAGGGGGTAGTGTAATGGTTTGTGCAAATCATGGTGTTGGCCATTGTACCATGACATTTTATGTAATAGTATGTAAATAGCGTAAAATGTTAATTCGTATAAAATAAAATAAGTGGAATACACGGTTTTGTCTTTGTAAAGAGGTTTACAAAATTTGTTGAGAAGTCGAAATAGGTTATTTGTCCTAGGTGGCCTATGTGTACTAGTCCAAAAAGAGTAATTGACTGTTTTGGGTAAACAAAATTGTATATTTTCTTTTGTTTATGTCTAAACAATAAAATATGGTTGGCAAAAATGCTCTAAATTGAAAATGTTTTGGTATTTTCTTGCATTGGCTATATGATGTAATAGTATCTAGGGGTGTACACCGGTCCAAAACCGGACCGGACCTGTTTGGACCGGGGACCTGAATTGGGTAATTATGAGGACCGGGGACCGGACCTGAATTAACAGGTCCGGTTCCGGGCCAGACCTGAAAAATCAGGTCCGGTCCGGGTTTGGACCTGAATGGACCTGTTTTGTGTCTTTTTCGTTTTTTTTTAATACAAAACCTGTTGGACCTGCATATGGACCTGCATATGGACCTGTTTTGTGATTTTTAGACCTGTTGCATAATTTAATAATTACATATAAACCAAAATTATCAATTACAAAACTACATAAAGTCTATAAAGTCCCGATTCTCAAACACCAAAAATACAAATGAGTCCACCGAAAATACAAATAAGTCCACGAAAACTCATAAAATTACATAAATTCTCTTAAGTCTCAACTCTCAAGTACTAGAAATACATAAATTCTCCAACGAGTTGTTTTCCCTTTGATCGCGTGATTCACACTAATGAGTCCACGAAAACAACTTCATCGTCTACATCGTTAGATTCACCACGTTGCACCTCTAAATAAAATACAATATAGAATATATTAATGATTGATAACAATGAAATAATAAATTTGGTGTAACAAAATTTCAAATACATAAAATTATTACTACCTTTCTCTATTTCCTCTAACTCTTTCAAATTTTCTTCCACATCAACAATTGGCACTTCCTTAGCTCTAAGCCAATCTTGTGTGCAAAGTAACGCTTGAACCATTTTCAATACAAAAATATTACACAAATATGTATAAACAAAGTCATATTAAGATATAAACAAACTTGATTTTATAAAATAAAAAGATAACGATGCATTACCTTAGGAGTTAAAGAACTCCGAAATGGATCTAGAGTACGACCTCCCGTACTAAAAGCAGATACCGATGCAATGGTCGACAATGGGATGGCTAGTATGTCACGTGCCATGCGATTAAGAATCACATAACGCTGACCATTCTTACCCCACCATGTCAATGCATCTTGTTCTTCCTCCTCCGGCCCTAATTGATCATTTAAGTACCTATCCAACTCACTTATCGCATACCCACTTGTCCCCTTCAATCGTTTTGCTCTTTCTTTTAGTTTCCTCACATAATCGGAACCCACTCCTTTACTATTATCAATATCCATTGACATATTATCTCCACAATCTGGAATATTAGAAGTAGCATACATTTTTCTATATTCCTCAAATAAAGAGTAAGCGAACTCCTTCACATCATTAGCAAGTTTTGTACCCTTTTCCGATCCATGCATATCCGTTAGTGTCAATTCAACAATGACCATCTTAGAGTGAGGGTCGAGAAGAAGAGCAACATAAATGAACTTATTCATCTTATCCACATCCCCCCAATACTTATCAAACTTTTTTTTCATTGCAATGGCCATAGCTTGAAAATTCAAGTCCTCACTTTGTTCCCAATTATTCAACATATCATACATAGAAGCAATTTCTCCTAAACCTTTATTGGCTGTCACATAATGGGAACCAAAAATTCGTTTAGTTAACAGATAAAACCCCTCTAGAAACAAAACCAACCTCTCCACTTTTTCCCAATCTTCGGGTTCGGGAGGTCTTTCATTGTCATTCAAATCCTCTCCATCAGGAAGAGATAACCCACTAAAAACACGTCGAAACTTCAAAGCCGTTTCCAACATTATGTATGTGGAGTTCCAACGAGTGGGGACATCAAAGGATAAAGAAGATTTTGAATCTATGTTTGCTTTTTGCACAAGATCTTTGAATCTAAGTATTCTTGCAGGGGAATTCTTAACATATTTCACAGCATTTCTAACTCTATCAATGCACACACCATGTTCTCTAATACCATCCCACACAATTAAATTAATGATATGAGCAATGCATCTAACATGAAGATTTTTTCCATCATTTATACATCCTGTTCTTCTAACCATTCTACTCAAGTGTGCACAAGCAACATCATTTGAAGAAGCATTATCAACAGTGACAGTAAAAAGTTTATCATCAATACCCCAATACTCTAAACATGCCTCAACTGCTTTTCCAATAGCCTCTCCTTTATGACTAGAAATTGGACAAAAATTTATGATCTTTTTATTCAATTTCCAGTCATTATCAATGAAATGAGCTGTAAGACACATATAATTAATTCTTTGTATTGAAGTCCAAGTATCAGTGGTCACAGAAATTCTTTGACATGTCTTAAACATTTCTCTCAATTTCTCTTTTTCACTATAATACAACTTTAAACAATCACGAGCAATGGTAACACGAGATGGAATGTGAAATTGTGGACATGCAACTTGCACAAAGTGCCTAAAACCGGGTTTTTTCACATGCTTAAATGGTAACTCATCAACAATAATCATGTGAATCAATGCCTCTCTAACATCATTCAAGTTAATAATCCTACTCCCACACTTTAATTCACTACTCTCATGTTCTTGATCAAAATACAATTTAGTTTGCTTTTCTTTGCCCTTTTCTTTTTCTATATTAATAGGATTACCGAGACATGATTCTGCATGGTTTTTAACATTTTTTGAACCATTAAGATTACCATCAGCAGCAAAAGTTTTAGGACAGAACTTACATTCAGCTCGTAGTTTTCCATTCTCGACGTACTCTAAGTAATATTTCCAATACTCAGCTTTCCTCTTACTTTTTCTGTTCCATATATATTCCCGCCCCGCTTTTAGCTTCTTATCAGGAGGCAAAGTAGATTGCAATTCTTCCATATCCTTTTCAGAAAGTGGTTGTGACGTTTGTTCAGAAAAAGAAGCAGACCGATTGGATTGAGAGCTCTCCATCTACAATATAATTATATACAATATAAGTAATTTTAAAGTAACAATTATATACACATACCATTTTATAAAAAAATTTAAGAGCAACTTACATTGCAAGAATAAGAATCCGTGGTTCCTTGACTTCCTTCACTCCCTGCAAGAATAAAAACAAAAATAAGAACCCCTGAACTACACACAGGTTAGCCAACTTATTTAATCTTAATAATCTGAGTCCATACTTTTAGCAGCCTAGCAGGAATAAACACAAATTTTAAAGTATAAGTTAGCTTAAAAAGTGTCCATATATACACATTAGAAATATCAATACCAGGTAAATAGCGTATATGATACGGAGTATGAGTTAGTTTAATAAGTGCAAGTCCATTCATTATTCATTAGAAAACCAAACAATGATTAATATAATGAATCACTAGTTCACTACTCATCCAAAAAATTTCTCAACGATCAAAATTTATTACGAAATAGTAAGTTACTAAGTTGTGCCGCATTATGTTGGATCAATTTGCAGGTTGGTATTATGGTATATATTCAACTATTCATAATACAATGTGAAATTGAATTGCCACATATAACATTCAAACACAGAGACTAATAATGCATACAAATATACAATAGAGTACATACTTAGCAGTTTTCTGTATTATACAGAAATATTGATTGAGATAATGATGGATTTTTTTTGTATTTCTCATCATCAAGACAAATTCAAGTGGAGACATATATTACCTTGAATAACTTATACTTTAGGAATAAACACAAATTTTCGCACTAAATTAATCTTAATAATCATAATAAACACAAAATTTCGAACTAAATTTCGCACTTGAACCCTAAACCCTAAACTTCTTAATTCTTATGAACCCTAAACTCAAAAAAACCAAAAAAAAAAAAAACAGAAATTCGAAAGAGATGAACTAAAAATAAGAAATTCAACATGCAAACATCAAACAATCATTAAAAGCAATTGAAAATTTGAAACAAGAATAAACATATAAATTCT